GATGGTGGGAGGGCTCAACAAAGCAACAGTGGTTTTTGTCCTACTTCTCTCTTGAAGAAAGCCACCCCTCCAGCCCTCGCCCTGAAGCCAGACAATTCATTTCCTCCCATATGTCCCTGGCACCTTTTGAGCTGCTGCCCTAGCACTGGAGCTCAGAGCGAGTGAGTCCGTCAGCGAGTGAGTTCATGTGCAGGCCCTTTAAGAGGAACACCTGGGACTCCTGCAGCTCTCCATTTCACTCAGCCACAACCTCCACTGTTTTCATAGTCAGAAGTTGTGGAGTCTTCTCCTCCCGGCACTGGAACCCTGGGCTGGAGAGCCTGATGTAAGGCTGGGACCTCTCCGCCCTCAGTGGAGACCTCTGCAGCTGCCATATCCCTGCTCATTTTTAACAACCACTTGTGGGTGTAGGACCAGCCCATTTGTGTCCTTAGTTGTAGGACTCCTGCTCATCTAGACTTCAGGTGATTTTCAATGACAGTTGTTCTGTAGTTTAGTTGTAACTTTGATGTGGTCATGAGAGGAGGTGAGCTCAGCATTTACCTATCTTGACTGGAAGCTGTGCATACCTTTTAAATTTTTTATTTTGGAGTTGATTGACTTAATATTGACCTGACTTAAAAATCTAGCCTCTCTTATCTCTCTTTAGGGTCCAATTATGTTGATTTTGTACTTTAAAGGAGAACCACCAAATATGCATGTATCAACTTGATTAGCAGTATACCCTTCACTGTAGTCATGTTTCATCAGTGGTTTTCATTTAAATGCCTCTGTTCTTGCACTTTAAATCAAGAAAAACTAAAGAAAAAATATATTTTTTCTCATGCAGCATAAGTTATAGAAACAAAGTTTGGCATGTACTTATTTCCATGTGAGTGTCACCTTAGACTTGTTTCTTACAAGATTTATTGTAAAGATTTGTTGAAGTTTTTCTCATAACTTTCAGAAAATCCAAGTATAGTTTCTAGGTATTAGAAAACATCAAGGATTATAGTTGAAGTTAAAACACTGTAGGCATCTCTTTTATTCAGAATTAGAGACGTGAGTATGGGTAATGTTAGATATATATATATATGACATAATGTTAAATATAAATACATAATGTCCATCCTCACAACTGTACCTTACCTAAAGTCTTCCTATTTAATGTTAAGGTATAATTTGACCCAATTTATAGTAATTTTAAAAATGAATTTTTTGAAATGTACTTTCTTCTGATGAATGCTTTCTATTTTTAATCAGTGTTATACATATTAATAATTTAAAGTCAGTTCCATAACTGACAAAATACAGTTGCCCCACCTTCCTCCTTCCTCAATTCCTACTCCCTAATTATAGCTACTTTTAACTCTTTACTGTTTCTTTGTGGTATTTGTTTTCACATTCAAAATAATGAGTCTAAACAGCTATTTCTCTATTATTCAGTTTTAGATAGTACTTTCCAAAATAGGAAATCAATGGATATGTACTTAGTTCTCTTAAACTTCTGTACACTCTCCACACTTATTCTTTCAATACTATTTTAAAATAATTTTTGGTTAGATCAGTATTGATTATTAAAGCTGCATAAAGATAGTCACATTTGAGCCACAGGGTGCAATGTGGATATTACCTTTCTTGTTAGAGTACTTTTTGTTTTCCTAAAGATAACTATCTGGAGTTTTTTGCTTACATTATTATGCTATGGATCTGTCACATACTTATGCTCACACTGTCAGGAGTATGAATTCTTGGAGACATCCTGCTGACTGTCACCTTTTTGGTTTTTTGGCCTCCTGTGCAGACACAGCCCCCACTTCCTTTTCCTTGGTTTATACCTCTATTAGAGTAGGACATGTCCTCTATTAAACTTTGTAAAAATATGAGAAAGAAACTGAGATGTTGCATGTGAAAAAGTATCTTTATTCTCCTCTCACATTCGTCAAAAAGTTAGCTGGAGAAAAAAATATAGGTTGGAATCACTTTTTTTTAGGATTTTGAAAGCGTTGCTCTCTTTGTCTTCAGCATTCAGTGGTTCTGCGAAGTTCAGTTCCCGTGGATAACCTGAATCTTGATTTCTTGTGTACAGTATGTTGTTTCTGTCCCCACCTTTGGAAGCTTTCTCCATGGTGTTTTGAAATATCATGAGTCAGGAATTTAACATGGCTCTCTTTTACGTGTTTTGTTGAGTACTTAATAGGCTATCTAAATCTGTCCTTCACTTCTGAGAAATGTCCTTTAATCATTTCTTTGACAATTCCTCTCCCTCTTTTCTGTTCTCTTAGGAAACAGATGTGGAACATCTTTACTGAGCCTGTAATTTTATCTTCTCACCTTTGTTCTATTTTTCTTCTATTGAGGAGATTTCCTCAGTTTTACCATTTGAATTTTTATTTCTGCTCTCAGATTTTTAATTTTCTAAAATTTTTTGATTTCCAGTATTAATTTTTTAAAATCTATTCTTGTTTTTTGACTAGTATTTTCCACTGCTTCTCTTGATGTCTCATTTAAAACTGACATTTTCTACTTTTCCTATATTGTTTCTGTCACTCCAGTTTTTTTATGTTCCTTTTTATTGTTAAAGTCTATCCTCAGATGTCTTTAGTGTGGTACTAAAAAGCTCATCAGAAGCTGTATGCATGATCAAAGCCTCTGATTTACTAGTAGATTTCACTACAGATTAAATAGTAAGGCCATTTTGTATGGGAAACTCCCAACTGTCATTGTCTTTTAGGCTGTCTTTTTCACGAAAGTAGAATCCTTTGTTCTCCTGCTTAGGAGGTGTGACCCATTTGGAGGAAAGGAAAACCTCATGCAGATTTTCCATGAGCCCTCCTGTTTGCGGCCCCACCTGCACCCTACTTGTAGATGTCCTTTGCGTCCTCTGATGCCTTAGCTTTCGTGGGGCTTTCTGGTAGCCATTACCTGCCTCTAGGCTTCTCCCACTGCCACTTTCTGCTTTTCAGAGTTACTGCTTGTCTAGTTCCTTTCTTAACTTTCAGAAAAAGTTTTTTATTACTGTCATTTTGTATTTTTATTCCATCATTGCTGTTTTAATTTTAGTTGGATTTCAGGAGGGAACTGTAGGGTAAGTATGTGGCTGCTTTGTTTAGCAGGGTCTCAGCATGCTCTTTGTTCTCCAGGAATGTATCTGTCCATGAGGTAATTAACTACACCAGGAACTGAATGGCAAAAGAAAACGTGGTGGCTCAGCCCTCCCACATTTGCCAGAACACGTGAAAGCATCTTAGTTTGAGACTAACCCTTATACTGCTTCTCTGTAATAGCATAAAGTTCTACCCAGAAGTCCTTGGAATTTTAATTATAATGTTTGCTATTGTAACAGATTTCTCTCTTATAATATGGTGATGTGAACTGCAATTTTTAAAAAATAAACATGTCTTCTAAAATTTTTAAGGAAAGAAGGATATAATAAAAATAATAGTTTGGAAAATGAATTGTCCTTTTAGTTTTTTTTAATATAAAGTAATATCAATTAATCAGTGTTATTTCCTCCACTCCATTTCATTCATCCGTATGTTGTATTGTGTCTTTGATAAATAACTATTACTGATATCCTTAGAAAAATACGAAATCTTGTTCAGATTATTGAATATTATTAGAACTGAGCCCACTAGGTAATTTTTTGTTTTTGTGTTAAAGGAGAGAGTTAACAGTCAAGCACCAGACTTAATATTCACATTATTTCTTTCTCTCATGAGTGTCACAATTCTAGTTAACAGAAGTTTTACATAGTCCTTTTAAAAACACAACACTTTTGTAGATGCTTTTATCTTAAGTAAATATTAGGATAAGAAAAAGTATTAAGTGTTTTAAAAAATTGTTTTCATATTGAATTATCCAAATACTTGGGATTTAAACGAGTTGCATAACGCATGCTGATGGTAGTTTGGCCAAGAGGACAAAGCTCCAAAATTCAAGTTGTCTGGAACCAAGGAAATCAAATAGAAGTGGGTTTTAGACATTTTCTTGTCTGCGCTACTATTTTAAAACCAAGCACTGGAAGTTTGAAGTGTGTTTCATGCAGTCTAGAAAGTGGGGCCTTAATGAACTCAGGGATGAAACCAAACAGTAAAGGACTTGAGCGCTTAAGTTAAAAGAGCACGAAGAGTATAGCACAGGTGGGGTGCTTCTCTTTTTGAGCTCAGTGCAGGTGAAAGGAAGCAGCTGGTTGAGAGTATTTTGTAAGCAGAATTCAGAAAAACTTCTAAGTCAGGATTCAAAACTTTAAAGAGAACAGATTTGACCTAAACCAAGAGGCAGACTGAAGAGGAGCTTTGGGTTGAAGGAAGGATGAACTGGGAATTAAGACTAGAGAGGATTTTTAAGAGTGTATGTAAAAACGAGACAATATATCTAAATGCAATGTACGTATGTAGTTATTTTCAAAGGGCACTTCAGACTAGTCTAAACTGGCTTCATTTCCAATAGCTACCGATACTGGATTGTCCAGTTTGGCACGGGGAAATGAAGAGGAAAAGGCAGGCAGGCCCTAAATACCCTGTATTTAGAAAAGAAACCTTGATCCTTTGGTGTTAGAAGAATGTAATCAAGCAACTCTAAAATGACTGAGAACATTCTGTCCCAGAGTTTCTCCGAGTTCTGTTTTATCAGCTCTCTAAATCAGTTGAAAATGCTATCAATTCTGTACCTCAAGCTAGTTAAAGCCAGGATTAAAAACCATCAGTCATGAAAATTTCCAAAATTAAATTTTCTCTTAGAGCCCAAGAGGCCATTTTTACCTCTGGGAATTTCTGAGTTATGATAGAGACACCATATTTCTCATTTAGATATTGTGCAGTGACACACCAAATTATTTTATTTGCCTTGAAGCTCTTGAACTGTTTAGCTTCTATTTGATATTATGTGAATCTGACCTTCAGTTTTATAATGTAAACTTTATATCTGCCATTTAAGTTTCTTTAAAACATGCCAAGGTAGAGATTTAATTACACTATTTATCTTTTTAAAAATAAATACCAGTATGTTTTCTATTTCAGGGCATTTGATGTAGAACTGCTTTACATAGCACAATTCTTTAAAATTCCAATAGCAGAAATTGCTGTCAATTGGACTGAAATTGAAGGTGAGTATATTGTTTGTGTTACAGCTGATCTTAACTGGGGGATGGAAGGAGACATGAGATAGTACAGTCATCCAATAAAGTCAGCTGGCGTTAATGGTCATCTTTCCACCTTTCCCCAATCAGGCCTTCAGCTGTCTCGATTCTGAGAGGCAGTTCCACAGAGCATACTGCCTACTAATCCCTTCCACCCAGCAGCTGCCTTACTGCCGTCTATATTTTTCAGCCTTGGGGTCTTCAGTAGACCTACCACGCTGCCCAAGAAATTCAGTAAAACTTGCTACAGTGGACAACAGCATGGTGGTCTGAGGCTAGAAGTTAGGTTGACAGTCTTTCGAGTTAAACTTTATTGTTTTTGCCATGTTTTTAGTATTATTTCAGTAGTCAGTGAGTATCAATTGGGTACCTACAAACCATTATGCAAAGCTAAATAAGGAATTTTTACTCCAAATGTCCATAGACCATTCAGAAATAATTTATTACTGGTATCTGTACATATATCCAAAAATGGAAAGATCTCTAAGATACAATAATGTGAAATTTATCCTAATTCTTGAAAATTTCTGTTCAGAAAAGCTAGACAGCTCTGGCTGTGTGGAATTTAAAATATATTCTAGCCTTCTCTTTTGCTTACCTTAGAATGGTCTTAAATTCACAGTACAGTCACCTCTGCCCAAGGTGAGCATGGCTTCCCCCTGGCGTCATTGTTGCAGTAAGCCGTGAATTGCTCCGTAACCCCAATTGTTTAGGGACAGAAAAAGGTTAAGAACCAGCATGGAAATCCTATAAGCTATATAGTCTAGAACGAATTCCAGCCTCTTAGAGTCTTACTGACTCACTGAGTTTACAGAAAGAATCTCCACAGTAGCAGCCTCGATTGAAGGAGATTGGGAAGCAGGAAAGAAGACTGCTCAGACTGTCATGATCAGCTCTGTCCACCTGTCTCCACTGATCTATGCCCAGGGTAGACTCCATGGGAAGTTGAAGTGGGGAACAGTTAAAATGTATTTGTATTTATATCGTTTGCTCATTTGTATTACAGAAATAGTTGTGCCTAATACGAATTATGGGTACCTCAAATTCCTTATTTGCTTCTGGAATGAAGATAATATTTTCCCCTGATCAATAATACAGAATAAGGTTAATATTGACAGAGTTCTGTGATGGTAATGAAATTTTAAACCTTGCTTCTGACAGATGTTCATTTATGTGCAGGTATAGGACAAGTAATAGTTGTAAGGATCCACTGTGACATGTGGATCAGACATTCGATTAGATTGGTATTCCTGTTTAGCCTTGGACAAAGAAAGAGGTCTGGACGAAATTGTCTTAAGTCTGATCATAGGCTGTACTTTTCACCATGAAGACTGAATTCATATGTAAAAATAATCTTATTTATCTTTATGCTGCGTCTTCAGTTGCTTTGTATGTATTATTTTTTATTAACCAGGACTCAAAAGAGTATTCTGTGTATTGGTCCTTCCCAGAACCCTCAGCCGTGCGCAGTCAGTCACTCCTCCCTATAATAGGACTATCTGAACTTTTCAATTTCGATCTTCCCAGGTTTCATTTCACTTCAGGATGTTTCGTTTTTGTTGTTTTTAGTGAAACCACTCACTTCAACATCAAAGATGTTTAATTCTTTTGTAATGACTTAAATAAAATTAAGGTGGATGTGTTAATTAACATGATATGGTAATCATATCACAGTGTATATCAAATCATTACATTGTACACTTTAAATGTATTTCAGGTTTGTCAGATATACCACAGTAAAGCTGAGGAAAAAGTAAAATGAGAAAGAAGTCAGAGCAGTTGGCCTTAAATAGGGAAATTGTCAGTGATTAGCATTGTGGTCTTGGCCATGTCACTTTACCACCTGGCACCCCCGTTACCTGACCTGTAAAATTGTGGGGGTGGTGAGGAGGCTCTTCCTGTCTTACTAAAAAGATAATTTCAAGGGGCAAAATCACGGAATATGAGATATTAAAACGTGCTCAAGGAGTTGGAGTTTTTTAGTCAGCGGGGCTTGGAGCGCTGCCACTTGGCCACCACAGGACCAGAAGGTGGCCAAGCTAAGGTGGTATTTGTTTTAGCTGATTGAGTCTTTGGTAGAATTAGAATAAAAATTAGGTTTTTGTCTTAGAGTTCTTATCGCATGAATAATCTTCACTCGTATTATATGTAGATATGTACTTGATTCTCTGTAGTACATATGAGACTGAAAAATAGTGTGTAAAACATGAAAATTGGTCCCCCCAAATCATTTTTAAGTGTATAGATGGAATTAAATGTTTAACAGATATACGTACATGAATACATACATGCATAAATGATATAAATAAAACTAAGATGACTAGAAGCTCTCAAAGGTCATGTAGACTGAATTCTAAAATACAATTTTAAACTGACATATTTTCTCCCGTTTAAGTTAATTTATTTTTAATGATTTTTGAATTTCAGGTTCTAAATTAGTTCCATTTTGGAGCTGGCTTCAAATGGGCAAAGACCTACTTTTTATACGACTCCGATATATGACTGGTGCCTGGAGGCTTGAACAAACCAGGAAAATGAATTAGGTTGTTTGCCATCTTTAATTGTATTCTTATGTATCAGTGTAACATTATTTCATTTGAATTAAAATTTTAAATAAAGCTGGGATAAACCTATGCCATTGTCTGCCTTTTGATAATTTTAAAGAATAAACTGCCATAAATAAAAATTTTTATACCTCTTTTGGACAAAAAAATTCAGATGTTTTTAACAAAAGTCAGATTTTCTTTTGCTACCAATTTTGTTTATTTAGATTAATTTTCACTAACTGATTCTGAGAAATTTTTAAACAAGACAGAAGTAATCTTAAAGTGCCTTGCATAATTCTCGTGAACTTAAATATAAACCACAGTGTTCAGGGATTTAAAAATAAAGTCAACATATGTTTAAAAATTATGAATTTATATATTAAAGGATTTAGGCTCAGTCATAAAGGTATCCACTCCTTCATATAGTCTCATTTATCTCCTTCGTAACTTTACATATGAGTACAGTACTTATCTCCTTCCCTCTCGAGTTCATGTTATTAGAAATTGGAAACTTTATTAAAAAGAAAGTATTTTAATATTAATAAATGTATTTACTTAATATCAAAAGCCCGTGTTTTGAGATACTATGAAGACTAATAAATAGCAATTACAAAAAAATCCACAAATCAGAATTACAGTCTTTCTGATGTTTTAAAGAAACTAATAATAATACCTAACATTTACTGAGTGCTTACTCTATGCCAGTCACTATTCTAAGCACTTAGTATAAAATAACTGACTTAATTTTTTTTAACATTTTAAAATTTTTTTTATTTTTTAACATTTTATTGATTATTCCTCCTCTCTTCTCCCCTCTGGGAACCACTAGTCCATTGTCTATGTCCATGAGTCTCTGTTTGTCCTGTTCATTTGGTGCTTTTAGGTTTATATCCCACATGTAAGTGATATGATTTTCAACCTTTTCCGTCTGGCTTATTTCACTTAGTATGATTATTTCAAGGTCCATCCATGTTGCAAATGGCAGTATTTCATCTCTTCTTATGGCTGAGTAATATACCCAGTAGAGGGATTGCTGGATTATATGGTAGATCAATTCTTAATTTTTTGAGGAACCTCCATACTGTTTTCCATAGTGGCTGTGCCAATTTGAGTCCCACTAGCAGTGTTTGAGGATTCCTATTTCTCCACATTCTCTCCAGCATTTGTTATTATTTGTCCTGTTGATTATAGCCCTTCTAATAGGTGTGAGATGGTATCTCATGGTGGTTTTGATTTGCATTTCCCTAATAGCTAGCGATGTTGAACATCTTTTCATGTTTGTTGGCCACGTGTATGTCCTCTAGGGAGAAGTGTGCGTTTAGGTCCTCTGCCCATTTTTTGATTGGATTGTTTCTTCGTTGTTATTGAGTCGTATGAGTTCTTTGTATGTTTTAGATATAGACCCTTATTGGAGGCATTGCTTGCAAATATATTTTCCCATTCAGATGTTGTCTCTTTACCTTATTGATGGTTTTTTTTTGCTGAGCAGAAGCTTTTTAGTTTGATGTAGTCCCCTTCATTTATTTTTGCTTTTACGTCCCTTGCCCTTGAAGTCAAATTCATAAAATCCTCTTTAAGTCCAGGGTCCCTGAGTTTAGTTCCTATGTTTTCTTCTATGCATTTTATTGTTTCAAGTATTATATTCAGGTCCTTAATCCATTTGGAGTTAATTTTGGTGTGTGGTGATAGACAACAGTTTAGTTTCATTCTTTTTTTTTTTTCCCC